CGACCAACAATGATTTCATTACATCTCCGAATGAATCCTGGATTGTTCGCGAAACTTACGGAAGCCTGGTGGTTAACAACAAGAAGTACTTCAGATATCCGTTGGCGGTCAAGTGGTTTGACAAGTTGTCGCGGCCGCAGCTACTGCTCAGCTTGTAAAGGTTGTTCAGACAAGTCACGAGGTTCCTATGGAATTTGACCCTGTCCGTTTCGTTTGACTCCGTGTTCTACAGGACGGGAATGAAAGGGCCTTTGACGCTCGCGTAATTAAATATATGTCGCATCGACGAGACCGATCCAAATGATCCAACTTACTTTAACGTAGGACACCAACGTATTCATCGTCACTGTGCGAATTGCCTTTGTCAAAGTTGCCTTAACTTGCGGAACTTTATCGAAAATTCCTCGGACATCGTCTTCCGCGATGCATAATCTGAAGCAAACGAGTTCTTGCAATTCCGTTTCGCGATCATTTATGTCGAGATTTTAATTTCACTGCCGAAATTACTAATCGTTCAAGAATCTGAATAACGAATCGATGTCTCATGTCCGAGAAATTCAACGTCCGTTGAATATTCAAGCGCTCTAAGTTATGCAAAAATTTACAAATTGTTATTGCAGTTGTACTAAAAAGTGCCATGTCACGGTTAATTTCGAACTTTCTGCTGATCCGTTGAGATTGCAGCAAGAGTTTCTCCTCTTTCGATACAAGAGGAGAAAGCGGCGTTGGTAAATTTGTAAATTTTCCCACTTGTGAATTTCTAACTATTGGAAATGCATAGTATCACCGTGTGGCTGAGGCACAAACAGCGCACAATGCATCCGCAGCGTGCGAGACCGAGACGTCGTGGTCGCTATACTCGACGATCTCTTTCATTAAATTGAGAGCTTTGTGGCAGAGTTCGTACACGTCGTCGCCCCATTCGTCCTCAGCGTCAACGTTTTCAAGAACGAGATTCAATAGTGCAACGGAGGAGAACTTTATCTTCTGATCCCAAGAATCCTCTAAGATCAAAGGCTTCAGGAGGATCAGTACTTGTCGCGGGACACAGACTAAGTTGAAATCCACGTTAAATTCTACTGCTCTAAAAATTATTACACTCGATAGTGATACGTTGTTTGATAAAATTGTCGAGCAATTTTAATTATATTTTCTTTTATCAGAAAATCGTTCACCTGTGCAGAATATCGTAGATGATCGAAATAAGCTTCTCCAGCAACTGGGTTTCCTTACAACGAGCCTTTAGAATGCAAACTGTAACCTTCAGAATGGAGTCCACTGCATCGGTGGCCACGTGACTTTCGTAAAACTTTCGATACACGATAACCATGCTCAGGAAATCGAGGATATTTCTATTAACAAGATGTGCGAAAGAAGTTTTAACCAGGATTATTAGGTCCTCTTATAGTCGATATTTAGTACGGGACTTACGGAAGAAGACGCTCGCTGAGAGTTTGTAGAAGCTCGAATATAGTCGAGAGAACGTCGAACTTGATCAACTTTGAAAGTACCGCCTCTTTGCTCGCAGCGCCACCACTTTTGAATAGCTTGGATATTCTTTCGATGCACGTGATCTACGAAATTTCTCATTGTGTTCTTCCTCGATTCTTCTATTCTTATCTTTATTCTAACCCGTATTTATACTACCACTTTTAATAACGACTATAGAACGATTGTTATATATCGATATAAATTTGTTCAAAATGAACTGCAAATTTTCGAAGGAAATCCTATCTCAATTCATCGCACTACACAACAGGTATATGAAAGGCTACTTCCTTCATATACATATATACTTTAATCGAGAAATTAATAATTTCAAAGACGTTTAAGGAGTTTAACAACATATGGAGTTCGAATAATAAATGTTTCAGAACCCATTCGAAAAGTGTCATACATCGAAGGCTATTCGTAGGAATTTTGAATACAGTACGTACTTGGGAGTATTCGTCGTGCAACATCAATCTCTCCTTCATGTTCAGCAGCAACATATCGATGTCCTCGACGTGTAACTGGAATAAGGGCTCCATGTGTGGCAAGTAACTGAATTTATGTACATAAATTTATAAGAACACGCAATGAACTAATTAGCTACGCACTGATCTTTGAAACCGCTCGACGTATCTGTTCAAGTCGGCGCGCATGCGCATTAATTATAACCGTTAAATGCGCGCATGCGCATTAATTATAACCGTTAACTGCGCGCATGCGCGTTAATTACAGCTGTTAAATGCGCGCGTTAATACAAACGGTGCCAAGAGTCACAGCCTTGTAATTCTACATATTTGAAGCATTCTTTCAGTAAACTTTTAATAAGTTCGATTTATCTTGTTCAATAGATAAAGTAGAATGTAAAAGGAACAGATTCCTTAAGCGGATATTCACGTCAATGGTTACTATATTTTATTTCAAACGTTATTATAAATTATAATACAAATACAATAAGTATAATCGTAATATATTATAAATGTTAAACAATCCTGAGTAATTACTCTACATAAGAGATAATGTGAATCGTATTGTTATCGATAATCCTCTTCTTTTTTTTGTTGTTGTAATTCGCTTTCCTTGACATCGGTAAAGATGTCAAGCGACATCCTCACTGGAACGAATCGCGACAATATATAATATAGAATACAATAATAATAACATATAATATAAACAATCCATTTGATATGGAAGGGGTTAATTCTAGGCTATTTATACTTTCTTGCTCCTTAAATTGAAAACGTCATAAACTATACAGTATTAACATCAAAAAAATGATAATATCGCGATCCGACAAAAACATTTACACAATGAGAGAATGCGGTAATACACAGTGCAACGTGACAACGCCGTATTATATTCAATTATGTGCAGAATCTATACATAACAAGAGCGAAACAAGCGTACAAATATTTTCGATCACGAAGAATTAACGAGAAACAGTGCGAAGAGAAAAGAAAGAGAAGGGGAACCGTGAAGAAAATAAGAGAGAAATAAAAGAATATATCTTGCGTCCCTTGTCTTCTCTTGCCGCGACGAAACCTCGTCGTTTATTTTTTTCTTTTTTATCGCTTTAACACGCTAATCGTCTTTACAAAACAAATAAAAAATAATAATAATAATAATAGCCACGAACAACGTGTCAACAAATGGAAAAAAAAAAAAAAGTAATCGAAGCCTCCCTAGAAAACGAACTTTGAGCCGATCGTCGATTAAAATTAGCCCCCTCGTAAAGTCACAAGATGGCGAACAACGAATCCCATGATTGTACGAAATCATTCCTTTTTCCTTTCTTCTCTTTTTATTAAAACGTAAACGCAACGACCTTGACGAATTATTTGTCAATACACTTTCACACCGATACACCTATGCGTTACATTGCGTTAACTACCACGACGACTGTATACATGACTCAAGAGTACGGTAGACTGTTAATTATCCGGATTTCCGGTCTAGCTAATACAAACGTATTCAGAGATTCCTGTATTCGAGCGCCCGAAACGAATAATATCCTGTCAATTTAATTACCGACAATACCTGCGAATAATCGACATTCTACTGTACTTTTTCTCGCATCTGCCGCTTTCTATGCCGTTTCCCGTCATCAACAAAAAGTTTCAATATCAATTTCAAGCCCATTAGTATCGATATACTCGGTCGGTGAATATGAAACGGATTCGTATATAAATGGGAACAGGAGAGGCAAATTACGTTGATAATTACAGATACCTCGATTGCGCCGCAGTGGCAATTATAATTATAATTATCGACAAAGCGACGAGAAACGGCAGATAGCTGAAATAATGCCCCAGAAACGCACGTCGTTCGCGAAAGTCGATCGAAACGACTACTACTCGGTCCTACGGGAAAAAGTTCACGTATCGAAAGCCTAAATGCGTATCAAACGACCGCCCCTGTCGAAAGAGGCGGCCTGTGTAAATGGTACCCAGTAAAAATTCGATCGGTGTGATCGAAAAAGAAAGACAGTCCCTTCGAAAACGACCTATCACGCGCTGATAGGCGTCCAACCGTAAAAGCAGAACTCGCGAGCCTCGCGCGGGACCAGAGCCTCGTTTCGGCTATTGAATCATGTTTACTTGATAAACATGCTCAATATCGTTACGTTACGACGAGCACGATCCCGGGCGATCGTATTAATTGACACGAACATTGCTCCATTCTACCGTCGAAGCTCTATTTGCTATGGCAGTGACGAGATGCCTGTATAAACTGTCAACGAGAAACATAAAAAAAAAAAAAAAAAAGAGAACATACCGGAAA